TGTTACACATTTTCGCGCCCGTTTAACATTTAATATCTGTAAGTATTATAAAGAGACTTATTACCTTGCTCTATTGATGTTTGAAATCTTCCGCATTAGATAAAGTTACAAGAAAATATAAGCATTCCTTTTTACTACCTAGTTTTTATTAAACCGCGTATCATTTAATCCAAACAGACGAAAGTTAAACTTCAAAAATTCTGAGAACATATAAGAAATGGTGATAGTATGTGAGAGGTAGTTAATAGCTTAAAATTACTTTAATAGGTCATATTTTTCTTTAGTTTTACTTTTTCTTTTTGTTTTATATTGATATGAATGATTTTCCAATCTCATTATTTTATATATACTTAATTAATTAATGTATTCAAAAGTTAAGTCTTTTGTAATTTGTTTCATTCATTTTAATCTTTTTTTTTACTTACGAATTACCTATTTCTATACACAATTTCTTTTGTGCTATGATTGCTGTCGAGAGTAGCTCAGGAATAGGCGGTGAGTGGTGTTGACTAGATAACTTTCATCAGGTCTATCTCTTCAAAATTAGAACTACTAACGCAAGTAGCCGTCGAGTAGCTTTGCAAATATTCAACAACCGAACAATTTACTGCCACTATAAGTAATGTCCTCTAGACGACATATTAAATCTGAATGCCTCATATCTTGATATCTAGATTCGAACATTAAAATTATTAAGCTAGGTTTAGGTTGGAGTGTGGAAGTTTTTGTTCGATTAGAATAATTTTGGAAGACCAGAAATATGAGGCCATGTGAATCAAGTGATAATTTAGTAGGTGGAGAAGTTTCAAACTGTTTTACTTTCGTACATATAACTATTGAAACTGTCTGTTAAATATCAACTAAAATACCCAATATTTTAACTGTCAAAAGCAACTATTTCTTTTACTTTACTTGTTTAAACAGTTAAGTAGGGGAAGCACCAAATGCCTCTTCAATTTTCTCAGGTTATACTACTACATACGTAGGTCATTAGGTTAAATCATATGGAGGTCATTAGTTTAAAACAGAGGTGTTTTTAAAGATACCTACGTTAGAACAGAGAAACCTTTATGAAGTAGCTACTATAAAACAGAAAAGCCATTTAACCTAATGACCTCCATATGATTTAACCTAATGACCTACGTATGCTTTTACCAGAAGATGATATTACAGGCTTTTCTGTTTTACTAAAATACCATTTAATGTCTTCTTTATTTTTCGATAAAGTTGCTTTTAAGACTTTTATTTTTTGTGAAAATTGACTTTTTTGGCTTATAATAAGGTCTTCTAACGCTTTTATTTTTCATCATAAGTTTTTTTTTCTGTTTTGTCACAAGGCTTTAATAAATTCCTCTCTGTTTCATTCTAGTACCATCTGAAAAGTTTCTCTGTTTAATCACACGTCCTTCTACAAAACTTTTTAATTTGTCTTAAGGTTTTATTTAAAATGTCTTTTGTTTGTTATCATAATATTTTCCTAGATTATCCTAATGTCATCCAAAATTATTCACTTTCTCTATTATAGTGGGATCTTAAAAGCGTCTCTGTTTTAGCGTAAGGAGTTACTATACATTTCTATTTTATTCTGATATAATATTATCTTTCTTTGACTTATCAAACTTATTAAAGATTTACCTGTTTCGTCCTCAAACATCTTAAACACTTCTCTTTGTTATCATAAGGTTTGTTTCATCATGAAGACTTTTCTTCCCAAGTACTTTTCTGCTTCATGATAAGATCCTTTTAAATGTTTTCCATTTTGTCATAAAGACTTCTTAAGATATTTTGTATTTTGTCATCAGATCTTCCCAAAGTCTTGTTAAATGAAAAACAGATCTTTGATACTATGATCTTCAAGCTGCAGACTACCTATCATCAATAATGTTATATCCTGAGCTGACTTTATTTTCTGAAATGGCTTCTCTGTTTTATCATAATTTATTTTTACGATCTATTTTAGATTAAAACCAACGTTCTATATCGTATGTACAAAGCATACGTTACTTATAACATTATAGGGCGCACTGTCTTTCACACAAAGACAATATCTCTATCTATGTCACACAAATGTGAGTCGTGTGAAATTTCACTAATTCTTTTCCTGATCTTAGGTTTTGTTCACGATGAGAAATATAACGCCTACAGTGGAAATGTTTTTATAAGTTTCTTAGATAAGAGTTCAAGTGAGCTTTCCTTTACATTCGAGACTGATTCATTAAATGTAAATATAATTAGTATAGGGATGTGTCCAGAAATACATTACCGTTTGCTGATCTTATGTTGTTGAACGTAACTAAGACAGCAACACCTAATAATGAGTGCAAAGCATTATGCAGACTCATGAACACTCTATAAACTCTTCAAATAAATGGTATAACTAATGACGAAAAACAGTTTGGGGAGCTGGTGTCCAAACATTCATACAATATATGTAAATATGACATTCAAAAGGGTTATAAATCTGTAACCTTACTCTGAACTTAGGGCTATAAGTTTCTGGTGTATAACCAGATCGTTTGTATTCATGTAAATATGCTATTCAAAAGGATTATAAATCAATAACCTTACTTCTGAACTTAAGGCTATAAGTTTCTGGTATATAACCAGATCGTTTGTATTCATATAAATATGCTATTCAAAAGAATTATAAATCAATAACATTACTTCTGAACTTAAGGCTATAAGCTTCTGTTGTTTGTATTCATTCTAACAGTTTTATTCCACGTGGGCTTAGATAATACATAAATGCGTCATACTAAAAAGTCAGTAGTAGGGACGATTGTTATGTACAACGTGATAAAGCAATATCAGTTCTCTTTTTCAAATAGATTGAAGCTGCTTTCACCATTTGTTATTACTGTTTTATAGAAACATTTAAGTCAATCTATCTTACTGACCAGAATAGTACGTCATTGTAAATGTATTGTTTATTACGGGCCACTTTATATCAAAGAAAATATCAAAGGTTACTATGTTTTGCAAAATAATCCTTTTCGTATTATTATTTTTTTCTATGTCGTATTCGTTTTATTAACTGATGCGCAAAATTTCTCATTATTGCTAAAACCTCATCAGGTGATAATAGAAATTTCTTGTCAGGGTTTAAAACCCGATAATTTTATATACAAAAATAACTTGTAATCCTGTGCGTGGATTTCAACACTGAAGTTCAAGCTTATAGTGAAGTGTTGCTATTTTACTCTCATACAAGACAACTGGCATTTAGGTATAACAGTATTAGTTTTATGAGCATTAAACCATAAGATCTAGGCCTAAATGTCATTAAACAAGAGCGGATGGATTGAACCACCATTCAACTGTACAGTTATATTTTCACAGCTAACAAGTTCACAAACAATAACATCTTTGATATTTAAAACAAGAATGTTGTTACCCTGTTATATTTCCAAGTTCCTTGCGTCGAAACTAAAATTTTCTTGATAAAATCGGAGAAGAGAATCAATCCAGAACAAAATCTTCTAGCTCAGGTGTGGGAGATCGTTCGTGTGACACTCACACCATCCGGCACTAGTCCTTCTTCCGTGCTATCCTGCAGTGGAAGGTATTCTAATCAATATGTCGGCTGGTTTTATTCGCGCGCACACGAGAGCTCAGACTACGTAGTGCAGTTAGCAGCAAGAGATGTAGTATTACGTCAGCTGGACAAAACCAAGCTCTCGGTGGTTGGTGTTTCTACTTTTGCGTTCAACATAGCTAATGCATGTGTACTTTCCAACTGCAGCCTCTTCGGCAGAATATTTGACCTCGATGCTAGAAACCGTATAGCGCGGCATTTCATTTTGATATAGAACTTGTAACATCCTGTAATATCCAGAAATGTAATGAACGATCAACCACGCATGTTGCCAAAGAGTCACACACACGCACACATTATTCTCTAGAGAGCTGACCCACTGACAGCGCCTTCAGGGATAAACGCAGAACCAAAAACATTTCATCACGTCTTGCTCAGCTTACATACTATATTTTATGTTTTTCATAATCCCCGTGAGGTACCGTAAAAACAATCCACTGAAAAAAGAAAGAGTGAATTCTGCTTCTATTGTGTGCTGATTTGCTTTGAACATTAACTAAAAAAGAAAGTGTGAATCCTGCATTTGTGTGTGTGTGCTGATTTGCTTTGAAATTTGACTGTTTCGATGCTATTTGCGTAGTAGAATGTTAATCTAAAGGTATCGGAAACAAATAACTCCTAAGTAAGATTAACCTACCATCTGCCGCGTTAACATTTAATACTGCTTACCCGTAAAAACACTTATGAAATGATCTTCATAATGAGAATACTGAAGACTGTTTAAATACATCGTTTGACAATTTTCAAACCGTAGTAGCTCAATAACGTAAACACATGCACGTAAATAATCACTACTTGAATTTTCAGGTGTTGTGTTTAAAGCAAAGGAATATCAAACACAGTTACACTTATGGGAAAACTTTATGCTAAGTTATAAATAGTGCGTTTTATGCAGCTGTTCTGAATTGTACAACAACAACATGAAATATTGTCTGTAGTATTGAATACGTTGTTTTCATTGCAACTCTGCTGTAACAACGTTCTAAATGGATGGTAATTCGAACGGGTACTGTATTTACAAAAGTTTAAGTTATTACATAGATGTTTAAGACGGATATTGCGATTAAGTAGCGTACTACGAGGGACACTGTGATTACAGGAGAGAGCGTGGCCCAGTGGTTAGCGTGAGGGCTCGCAGATCGGAAATCCTAATGTTCGAGCCCCGATATGCAAAGTGAACACGCTATGCACTTTCAGATGTGGGCGTTTTATAGAAGTGACAGGCAGTTCCAGAATTAACTTAATAATAGCCGTGCAGGCAGCGGACGCTACCAGTTGGTTGACCTCTTTATGTTTATTAAGCGGTTCTGAGTTAGGATTGGAAATGCCTGAATCTTAGTTTCTCTCGCCTAGTCGTTTAACCCATGTGTCGCAAAAGATGGGTTAATACTGTAGTTACGTAGCATACAATGATAGGTATTATGATAATGTATGTAGCTTTACATGAGAGTACATTTTTATATCAAAGTATAGCTTAAGAAGGAGCTAAACAGAAAATAATTAATTTAACATATGAAATATTTAGTAACTTTTATAAATACTTATTTGTTTGTTTTTAATTAAGCGCAAAGCTATACAATGGGCTATCTGTGCTCTGCCCACCACGGTATCGAAACGCGGTTTCTAGCATTGTAAGTCCGCAGACATTCCGCTGTGCAACTGGGGACTTTTTATAAACACAGAAGCAAATTCAGAAATAACAACACAAAAAAATTCCGAGATTACTGCTTATCAGACTGAGCGATAAATACGCCTCAGGTATTTATATCAGTCGTTTCAAATGTATTCATCCTCAACTAAATAAAATATCAAATTAAACCTTATGTATTTATTAAAATGAAGTATTCAAATCATTAAAAACGTAAATTTATTTATCAACTTCTTTTCTTTAATTAAATACTCAGGTCAACCCATAAAATTTAAAGCTGTAATACGTTGTTCAACCTACATATTCTAAGGATTTCGTTTTGTACAACCGACAGAAAAGGAAAATTAACATTTATGGTATTTTCACAGTCGATTAATATTGAAAATATTAGATAATAAAATAAGTAAAGGTAACGGTTTCGCAAAGGAATATGTTTTCTATAATTATAGAAAGTAAATGATGAAAAGCATTGAACAAAACAACAACAGAAAATACGAAGAGTCGTATAAATATTCTAGACACCACCTTTTCCTTCACCATGAATTTCGTTCTATAAAATTATTGAAAGATGCTGTTGTTGTGTAAAAGCCTTTGGTTTCGTGCCAAAAAGAAAAAATGTATGTCATAATTACTTATCGATTTTTTCTCATAAGAATGGGATGTTGTTGAGGTCCTGTATCTTTTCCGAGAACTAGTGTTTCGTGGATGTTTTCAGACTTTCCTCTAGTATAGGATGAATAAAAACTCCGAATGACTTTCCATAAAGTAGTATTGAGAACTATTTTCTTTGGAATTGTTGATTTATTCCGCGAATTGTCTGTGCTCAGACGTTTAGCTTTAAACATGGACAGGTGCTTAGGGTGCTCGACTCGCAATCTGTGGGTCGCGGGTTTGAATCCCCATCGCACCAAACATGCTCGCCCTTTCAGCTGTGGGGGCGTTATAATGTGACGGTCAATCCCACTATTCGTTGGTAAAAGAGTAGCCCAAGAGCTGGTGGTGATGACTAGCTGCCTTCCCTCTAGTCTTACACTGCTAAATTAGGGACGCTAGCGCAGATACCCCTCGTGTAGCTTTGCGCGAAATACAAAACAAACCAAACTTTAAACATAATTTAACATGCAGAAGTTATTTTGTAATTCAAGAAAATTAATGTCACTTCTGTTAATGATCCACATTCCCCTTACTTATTTCCAAGAAGTAATGATTTTTAATGTAGTTTCATGTTAAGTAAGTAAGTACCCGAACAATGATACCAATAGAGCAGGAGTAACAATTATACTTATGAGTATTAACGCACCATTGTTAACATTATTCAACCAAGTCCGTCAACATAATAGAAATATTTCTATGTTGATATTTCATGTAATTTCGCAGAAATAATTTATATATATATATGTGATGAGAATCGAAACAGACTGCTGGGCAGATTATGACGAACAAACGTCTTTGGGATTGGTAAATTGGAACCAGGAGTGAGCCGTCTTAAACTCACGCCCATAAAATCGATTTTAACTAAATACACACTACCCTGAGTAGATTAAAAGCATTATAAATTAACAAAGATAATGTGTAAAAAGGATTTATGAAATAATAAAAAAGCAAGAATGGGCAAAAGTATTAATAAAAAGTATGTAAACAAATCTTGACGCTTATATTAATTCATCTCAGCCAACTTTTGTTTAGCAGAAAAGTAAAATAGCAAACATTTGTTAACATATTGTCATATCTTCAAGGTATATCTTCCGCAGTCCTTTAATTGCGTACTACCATACATGGCCTAGTGGTTAGCGTAGCGGGCTGCCAATCGTAGAGTCTAGTTGTCAAGACGTGATGCTGCCGAACAAGCTCTGTACTTTCAGTGGTAAGCGTTGTTATAAAAATCACTGTGAATCCCGTTATTCTATCAAATAGCCGGACAAACCTTTTATGTTAGCGGATACTGTTGACCATAGATGTGGATTCTTGAGGTCTCTCACCTAGCCGTATAGCCAACATGCGCACAACGTACAGATTAGGTTCGGGTTGAAACTTTTCAAAATTAACCTACTTTTCGTCCTTCTTGTTATCCTATATGCATATTTCAAAAATATATTTTGTTTACTCATTTTTGTTATTTAAAGAAATCCTTTATAAACTACTTCCTAACTATTTCGTCACCTAACTGACTTCTAATGTAGTGAAGAAATTCACTTCGAGCACTCTTTCTATATAATCCAAGAAATAGCGTATGTTCTACATTGAACATATTTAGCCATGCATGATTATTTTTCTTACCAAATAAACCAAAACAGCATTTCTCATAAATTTTGTCATTATTCTAAAGAAAATGAAGTCGCGAGTAAAATTTTAGAATAATTTCCTCCATCTTTTTAATGTGTTTCATGTAAAATATTATTATGCCATACCTGTTTAATATAAAACTCATTAGAGTGCTTCAGTTATATCTCCACTTCTGTTTACTTATTAATTATTTTAATGGAAACAACAGTGAAGATTCCTAAAATCTTAATGTTCGTTCGTGTTTTTTGTTTCGAACTAATTGGTCATGTGCAGGTTCATACTTGTTTTTCGAACTGATTGGTCATGCGCAGGTTCATACTTGTGTTTTGAACTAATTGGTCATGTGCAGACTAATACTTGTGTTTCGAACTAATTGGTCATGTGCAGGTTCATACTTGTGTTTCGAACTAATTGGTCATGTGCAGGTTCATACTTGTGTTTCGAACTGATTGGTCATGCGCAGGTTCATGCTTGTGTTTTGAACTAATTGGTCATGTACAGGCTAATACTTGTGTTTCGAACTAATTGGTCATGTGCAGGTTCATACTTCTGTTTCGAACTAATTGATCATGTGCAGGTTCATACTTGTGTTTTCATTTATCCAGATTTTTCACTGTTATACTCAATTTTCATAACTGTTCTGTCTCGTCATTTCATGTTTCAGCTTGTATAGACTTGTATCTTTTACACCTATCCAAGTAACACTGATGTTGTAGTACGTAATGGATGTAAACAGGAAATCTTCATTATTGGATTATACGCATAATACCCTAATAGTTATAATTTAATCCTTTATTAATATTTACATATAGAACTATTTAAAATAAGCTAATGAACATTCAGTAAAATAAAACTCTTGAACGCACCTGATCAGCGTCTGTTTCACATATAATACAGTACATACAACCTGACGAAGGACGTCTGCCCCAAATCGCATTATGCATGACAAAATATAGTTTACATTTATATGTGTGTGTTTTTTATCCATTATTCCTTTTTATCTGAATTGTTTTTGATCACATCTTCTGCAATACAGTCGCTTAAACAT